AACGTTTAGAACCTATCATCTGTTTAGAATACCGTTCCGTAGAACCAATCTTGGTCTTAATTCCCCTTTGTTCAGGGCTCAAAAAAATCATAATAATTTCTGTAATATAGATTTATTTAACATTAGCTTGACCTCCCTGAAAAAGGCTTTAAAGTATGAGTATTACAGCTCTATGGCAGAGTAAAATAGAAATGTTTTATTTTTTTACATAACTCAAGTTAACACCTCCAATATCATTTCTGGTATAATTTCAATTTAATTTTGATTTCAGTTTTATTTAAACGTAAGTAAATGTTAAATTATGTATACTCCTTTTATTAAAAAAGTTAAATTAATAGTTAATTACTTATAATTAGAAATACTCACTCAGTTTATGTTGTTACAACAATATCGGAGGATAAAAAAATATTAATATTGAAGTATTCAATAATGTAATATATGTATATGTATACGATATTTTATGTAAGCTTAGTTTTAGTTCACTGAGGGTGTGTGTTGGGTTTACCTGTTAACACCCCAAACTGTATATAAATAAATAAATAAATAAATAAAAACTGCTTTGACGTTTCGAGTTGTTTTCTTCATCTCATCACCTAATTTTAATTTTAGGCTTGGACATTGAGGGAGAAATTTTTCGGGGGATAGCCAAAATTCAAAAGTCGGTCTGAACTTTTTTACATAAACTCTGCTGTCCGCAGACCAACGATTACTTAAAAAATTAAACAATCAGCAAATTTTCTGAGATAATCGCCTCCTTGGCTGCAAATATGATTCTTTGCTTATAAGTGAATCAAATAAATTCTGTATATCTTAAAGAAGTATAATAACAAGAACTTTAATAGTAATATATTTTTTCCAATATAACTTGATAAGCTACCGCAAATATTGAAGCAGCATACGATTTTCAATGCATATGGGCTGATACACTGAAATTTTCAATTCGGAAATATCTAAACTTTACATACAGCGCTCAATCAACAACATGCTGATTTCGTTTTCTTGCTCTCCTGCAAAATTTACTAAACGTTTGTAAGGACAACGATACATATACTATACTATATTATATTGCCCCACGAAATTAAGATCTTCATAAAATTACGCTCCAAGCGCTCACCTCTATGTGCCTATCGCATGACCTGCTACTTGCTTTCACGACGAATCTAGCAATTAGATCCAATCACGCGCATACCGAGTTTGCTGCACGAAGGGAGAATATTTGCGACCGAGAGATGAATCGCATCTGTAAAAATTTCTTAGTTTTAAGGGCAAATGTATTGGGGAATCTATAATTGCCGATAATTTTTTATTGAGGATCTTAAAGTGAAGGACAACCTTTTTTAGAATTCTTGCGTATATGCAATTTCGTTCAAATCCTGTATCATGAAGATACTGTCAGTTTTGCGCTGAAATCGACAGCATCTCTCAAAAAAACATTTCTCTATTCTAGGGAGGGTTTCGCGGTATGGAGGACGCGGATAGGGCAACTCTTACTTTTAAGTGAAATCGGAATTTTAAATTAACTTGCCTAATACAGGTGACGTAACTTTCATTACTTGATTGTACACACATTTTGTCACATATAGCGTATAACTACCTAACGGCATCTCATGCACCTATCTGACGGTTTCAATATAATCCATGTCGGCGGCGCTGGCGGTGTTGGCGAGCTATAGTTCGCAACAATGCCGCCGTCATTGGAAAGCTAATAATCCCTGGTATACCTCGGCCGAAGTCCAGTCTGCGGTTTTGTCATACCCAGACATTGAGCCTGCTGCTATTGCCTCTTCGACCCTGCCCGATGCCCGTGGCCCGTACAGGGTGTTTCGCTATAGAAATTGACAACTCCTCTGATTACCTTATGAGCGTTAATAGTCTAATCATATCAACAAATTTCCCCGAAAAAATTGTAAAGTCTGGTTTTATTGGTGCAAGTTGTTCAAGGGGGTATTCAAAATATGGACGCATAAAATGGGTGCACCAATTTTTGCGGGGAAACTTTATATTCGACAGCAAAGAATGAGAAAACGTGTTTTTTGGGATTCAATCGAATGTGCTGACAGGAAGGAAAAAACTACTCATATAAGATTTTTAGGTATTTATGAGACCTACAAAATGAGACCACATGTAAAAAGATCCGACTACGAGTAACAGCAAAAATCTTATGGCCGAAAAGCGAGGCAAACTGCAGGTTTTGGCACTTGTAGGTAATGCGACAATGGTTTCTCGCGGATATTTGAAATTATTCAAATTCGTAGGATTTGTACTTATAAATAACCACTACTAGCTTACACTACACTACAATACACTAGTTTACCTTGCCGGTATGAGTCGCTAACCATTCCGGAAGATAAATGCAATTTTATGCAAAAAAAGATTGGTTACGTTTCTTCTAACAAACAAATTCAAACATTTCGTATTTGTGACTAATTCGCAACAAAAGATGATAGACAAATCCGTTTTGTTTTGAAATGTGTATAGTAATGTATGTTTTTCGAATGTTGTACCGCATTTGTTCAATTAGAAGAAAAAAACGTAACCTTTGTTTCTCGCATAAAAAGAACATTTATCTTTCGGAATGATTTGTGATTTATATCGGCAAGGTAAATACGTGTATATTGCTATTAAATGCTCTTTGAACAAACTCTGTATATTGCTCAATAAACTAGTAGTGATGGCCGGAAAACGGGTGCTTTGGGATAAACAATTAGAAATTCTCAAATAACTACTTGACCAATATAATCCAATTTTGTTGTTGTTATTTAGAAGCTCGAATCCTACGGATTTGAAGAATTTCAAGTGGTTGCGAGAAATTGTCGTCACATTTTCAACAAGTGCCAAAACCTGCATTTTGCCTCGTTTTTCGGCCATAACATTTTTGCTATTACTCGTAGTCGTATCTTTTTACGTGTTGTCTCATTTTGTAGGTCTCATAAATACCTAAGAATCTTATATGAAGAGTTTTTTCGTTCCTGACAACACTTTCGTTTGAATCCGATAAAACGCGTTTTCTCATTCTTTGCTGTCGAATGGATAGTTTTCCCACAAAATTTGCTGCAATAAAACTAGACCTTACAGTTATTTGGCAAACTAGGGGTATTTTCGTGTAATATGATTAGACTATAAGAAAAAAAGTCTTACAAAAATTATAGGATCTTATATTAGTTCTTTATCCAATGCGGAAAAATAAATAAGTATCTTATAGAGATGTATTTTTCAAACATCATGTTAATTTTGTGTGGACGTTTATATAGATTAGGTTTTGTCGCCATCTCGAAAATTTGCTCGTTACATACAACTATTTCTGTTACTGTCAGTGATACTGCCGAGCTAAGCACAGAGAGGTATCTGCAGTAAACCTGCAACTGAGAAAAAGGCGTCCGGACTTTTTACTTCTGAATTTCGTTTACCAAATAGCCAGAAACGATTTTTTTATATTCATAGACAGTTATTTTCTTTACATAAAGATAGTTTTATTTCGTTAACATATGGTTTCGTCAGCTTAATGAAGTAGATATGGCCAATAAAAAATAATAACTGATGTTAAGCTCAATAAACCAATTGAGTGGTATTTGCAATACTTAAGACTAACTTACTTTTGACGTTAAATATGACTAGCCAGCATACTAAAGCAAAAAAGTTACACCAGTATCCGCATAAAAGTGGTGTGCACACGTTATTAGGCGAAGCAGTCCTAACTACAACGGTTACTCCTTGTTAAAAAAAAGTTTATGTAAAAGAGTGGAAACTATAAGCTCATACGCGTTAAATAAAATTATGAGACTGATTTTTTAAATTGTCTTTTGTTTGTCTTATGCATTATCGTGCATCGTACCCATTTGTTCTTGATCTTATGAACGGTGGAGTGAGTCAAATTTAAGTCTTCCCGATCATTCTGACTGTCAACCGACGATCTATATACTAGATAGAACGCTACGTTGCCAGTCTCATCACTTGATTTACAGACCGCATATACGTTAGTAAAACATGATATTTGTGTGATATGACAAACACACATGTAGGATTTTGAAAAAAACTATAGTTTTTTGGCCCTAAAATTACAAATGAGCCGTATTCATAAAAGAGAAGCATATCCTCGGAAGCATAACGTAAAAGTATAAGGTCTTGCTTTGATGAAAAAGGTAGAAGTTTAAGCATATCCTTGTTTTCATATTCATAATGATTACCTTATACTCGCGAGGATATCCTCCAAGAAGAAGTAAAAGGTTGACTGGTATTTTTATCTTGAGCAACATGTCCAGACTTGTTCCAGCTTGTAGTTGACGTGGGAGTTCGTTCACTCAGCATCACTGACATTTGTACTCCAGAGCTTACACAGACCGTTCCGTATTTTTACTGGATACATTTTTTTATCAAATTAATAAGCACGTCATCCTCAAGTGATGAGGAAACTATAGAAAATAATGGCAACGACCTGCAGTTCATCGCAGATGAAATTGCCATTGCTCCCATTATTTTGAAAAAAATCGCAAGTTCCAAAAATAAAAATGAGAAAGGACGATGCCTTGAAGAAGATGTTGAAAAAAAAACGAATCAACATTCGGTAAACCATTAAATACTAAAGGCTTATGAAAAAAAATTAACAACATGAAATCAAGATTGAAGAAAAAAACAGATCTAAAAAAAACTGGCAATAAGGCAATTAAATTATTAGATAGGCAAAGAAAGTTGCTGAAAGCTATGGAAGGTGACCGTAATCCTACAATTGGGAAAATTAGAGGTGCCATTCAGGTTGGTAGTGTTCAAGAAGAAGGAAGTGAACTATATACCGAGCGCAGTGAGCAAACAGTTAGTATTACAGCGCCAATTCAGAAGATATTTCCACCAAAAAGAAAATTAGTAACAGAGAAATACGTAACTGAGGAAACCAAAGGGTTAACTACAAAAAAACTGCAACGTCTAGTGCTATTACAGCAGTACCAACCAGGTATCTTACAACAAGAGTATTATAAAACGAAATTAGAAATGAAGCAGCGTCAGAAGCCATCTGTAACTGACGATGTTCAGGAAAATAAAACTTATTATAGCTTATAAATACACTTTAATCAGTAAAACTATTTATTATAGTACTCAAGTTTCTTCTTATTTGTTAACTTAGTTGACGGAGAGGAAGTTCGTCATTCTCATGATTTCCTTCATCTTCATCTGGGTCTTGTTCAACTAACTCAAAGTCAGGATCGCCCAAGCTCTTCGCAACATTATGGATACAAGCAATAATTATTTTCGGCACATTTTCCAACTTTACGCGGCAAACATACTGTAGGACAGGAAACCGGCGTTTCAGTTGGCCGTTCAATTATAACTGTTTCTTGTTTTAAAAGCTTATTATAATTTATTTCTGCACCTGGAGTAGGACTTCTGAAGGGAGTCATAAGGGATGGATCAATACCATAACCGTCATCGCCAAGTACTACAACATTTGCTTTATTTATTAGTTGTGATTTAGTCCCTGAATTTCTCCATATTCTGGAATCATGCACTGATGCAGGCCAACTGACATCAACACTTGTGATTATCTCTCTGGCATCACAAGTGGCACGTTTAAATTAGGTTTCCCTTTTCAGTTGATATACTTATCTAGATGGCGATTTGGTTTCAGGATTCCTAATGTGTACAATCAATTACACCAATTGCTGCCGGAAATTTATACATGCTCTGCCACATAGCTTGGCCTCCATCAGTTCATGGTTGGTAGTTTTAAACTTGATCCATTCGTTCGACTGTGCAAATATGCTGTTCACAGCTCTATCCACAGTCCGAGATACAGTTGCTTGACTAACGCCAAGTTTCTGACCAATACCTTGTTGATATCCCGGGTCACCGAGACAGCGTAGACATATCTTCATTTTTACATGAAAGTGCTCCTCCTCGAGTTTCCTCATTCTCAAATAAAAATCTGTCCGCAAGCCATTGTACATTTGCTTCGTCGAACCGATGTAATTTTTTGAAGTCACGACCAAGTGAAGGTAAACGAGGTTTGTACGTTTTAACAACCCTAACATACACAATTTCAGTCATCATCGTTTGACCACCTTTCGTTACGAAGTTGAGTCTGCTACTGACCACACTCAGAATTTATGCTTCCTATGCCAAGTATAAGGTGAAGATTATGAATATCCTTTTACTTGTGTTACTGCTTTGAAGGATATGCTTACACTCAAAAAGCAAAAGCGTTCACTTCAAATTATTATAAATACCATCTGAAGGATTTCCTTCAAAATTTGGAAGTACAAGGGTATCCTTTGTTTTATGAATACGGCTCAATGAGTAGAGAAAGTGCCACTAATTTGGTAAGTATCAAAAACCAAATATGCAGGCGCTTGTTTTGGGTGTAAGTCTTGAGCTTACCCTTTCGATGCAATTACTAATTCCTGAAAAATCGACTAATGCATAACGTCCATAGTTTGTGCTGAACTTAATGGACTATTTATAGATCATAAATGAATAAACAAACAGCTTTGTATTACCCGCTTCATGGGTGTACACATGCTTTCTTTGTTAGGATAGTTAAGCTTCACCCATGATACGAACGATCGTATGACATTGATAGCACCAAGTTCCGAAAAGAGACCTATACTTATTTTATTACTTCCATCAACAACGAGTATCTTATACGTTACACATTCATTCATGCATCTGACTGAAGTGTTGAGTGAAACCATGAAAAGAAGGAAAAATCAGCTATGATGGTATATAATGTGTTCCACTCAGAAACCGAAACTTTATTCAAGAGCAGTTTATTAAAAAAAAGGATATTGCATGAACAACTCTATACTAGACTTTTTTATACAAATCCTTTTTCAGAAGGATTATAGAAAATAGTTAGAGGGGGTTAACTCATACCGAAACACCCTATACGTCGTTGGCTAGTACGAATCGGGAATGAAAATCTATATCCAGTGCTGATATAATCTGCACAGTCTGCTTCCACCAGTAACCCGATCCGTTGATGTTCAATTAATAATTAGATGGGACGGTTTTTAATGGGGTTTCAACTTAGGTGTATAGCTTAGAAATTCAATTAGTCGGGTACTATGGGCTCTACTTTTTTGCTGATTCCATAGGATTGAGGATTAGCGTGGACAATTTTCATCACTTATTCGACAGTCTCTCTCTCCCTTTCCCTCCGTGTTTCTCCTAAAGTTAATGCTATAACATCTCTAAAATAGGGTTAGCTAATCAAGTTGGTGATTTAGAGAATTGTCGAATATTTTGAAACATCCGATACTATCATTAGATAAATTTACCATAGGTATGTCGTCTTTTATGGCCCTACTGCTGAGGTTCCTACTCATTATATGCTTGACTAGGTAACGGTGGGCGTTTCATTTAACTTCAAATGCTGCTGCTTTTGCTTGTCTGACATGAACTTACATGTGACTTAGAAACATCGCCTCTGTCATTAGTTCAACGTGCTGATGTGGTATTGATGGCTCTCTACCATACGTATACGACATTCCAAATCACAGTTAATAGCATGTCACCCCATATATCAGAGTGAAGAGAGGAACCCTCGTGTGTCCCACGCAAAAATTAAGGTTAAAAGGGAAACGCCAGAACGCATACGAAAGTGACAAATTGAATCGGTGTAAGGAGCGACGAGTGTCGGCTGTCGGCTGTCAGTGATGTCCACGGCTCACTCGATTATACAGAAGGATCAAAGTAGGTACCTTGTTTCAATTCAATTCTTCCAAGTTTAGACTATTCCGACAGAAAGATTTTTTCTGTGGGGAGGACGTTGAATGTAAAGTGTGTATTTTGGAAATTAGTTTATGCGCCTTTGCTGTGTACCGTACTTTCCGAGACAAATTCAATATTTTTTCACAGAGATTGTGCTTGTCTCTATATAAGCGCATGTTGAAAAGTTGGGAATACAATCCATAGCGAAAAACTCTGGAAATATACGTGACCTCCGAACCATGAACTCCTGTACTCACAACGAGACGGACAAGAAGTAATAGTATGTTATCCACAATTCATATTAAAAAATTACCATTGACTCATATTTGGGGTATTGTTCGAGTCTACGAAATATTGAACAAATTTAGTAATAATAATCTCATTTCCTATACAGGGTGTACCTGCGAGGTTAGAGACAAAACTTGTCTACGTGTTCCTCAGGTTAATTTTAGGAAAAAAGTCCTATGAATATGGGTCCGCAAATGATTCCTTATCGAGATAATGATTTTTTTTATTTTTAGGGTGCTAATGGTGGGAAAACCAGAATATTGTTGGAAAACCACTTTTATTTAACACCAAATTACTAGGTACAATGAAAATAATCATTCACAATAGTTGTTCAAAGTATCCACCTTAACACTGTGAACATGTTTAATAATGTGACTGGTGGCTTTCCCAATAACAAGACGATTACTTCTCATGTCGTCAGCGACATCAGTAATTTTACGGAGCAGTTCAGCCCTGGTATGCGATTTGTCTGCATACACTAAAGACTTCATATGCCCCCACAAGTAATAATCCAAGGGATTCAAATCGGGCGAGCGGGGTGGCCGAGAAACTGCGCCCCCTCATCCAATCCAACGCCCAGGAAAAGTGTTATTTAAATAATAACAGCAATTTTTGAGTCATCCCTCTATAGATGAACGCTTTTGATGGCTCTCACAGCGATCATAGCGAGGAAACGTGGAATGAACTGTTTGCACATTAAAAACTAACTAGTCTGCAAGATGACATTTTGTCGGTTTTTAGGTTATCTACATAATACCTCCGCCGAAAGGGCTAGATAGAATTTGAAACCCTAAGAACGACTGAAAGTAGGACTCCAGTGTTCATGCCGCTTATTTATCTGTCAAAATTTCGTCAGTTTCGGTTAAAAATATATACTCAAGAGGCATATTCAGAAAACGTGCTCGAAGTTGGGTTTTACATTTCAAGCTTTACGTGACTTTCCGAGCATAAAGCAAATCTCATATATGAGCGAGTGAAGCGTGTCCCAATGATGAAGTTGAGTGAAAAGGGACCGTGCAACCCTTTAATAACATGGCGCAACACCAATACAAACTTCATCATGCTCGGTATGCCCCAAGGGGTGCGGGTGCCTCGTGCCCTACAAATTTTTCCCGCCAGCGTCCGCCCTCTTGACCGTGATTTACTTTACGGCATTTGCGCTCCGCATCTGTATATGTATACAGAACACACGGAAGCTGAGGGTCGCAGGGCACAGGGCGGAGTAGCTGCCCGAGGTGCATCTGCTACAAGTCCCTTCCGGTTAATCTCGAACGGCTGCCGGACTTACAACTCCTCTTCATGATGTAGTTTTGATTATTACAGGACTGTACTGAATATTCAAATACCTTCAGCCCTTTGTGCAGACGCGGGGTTCATTAAAGTAAATTATGTAAAATATGAATACCCCTGTTTCCATAAAGATGTTAAAAAGTAGGTCAGCAGTCTATTTTTGGTACAATCCTTGCATTGATCTAATCTGCCAGTGTAGCATAGTCAAGAGGGCGATTACTAACGTGATATGATGAAGGAAGGATCAGTCATGCCTGTTTCTTTTTGTTCTAAGAGTGGATTTAATGCACGAATACAGAAATTAATCAATTTGATCAACCAATAATTTTACTGTGTCTTCTTACAATCTTATACTTATCCCTAGAAGCAGTCGATTGATGTTTCTTTAGATAATCCTCTGCTTTAGACACAAAACACTACACAAGCCCGTACGGCTTGATCATCGTCAATCGTCGGACAGCGTTTTGGTTGTTCAGCAGCTGGAGGGCTTTTATATGGGGGTGTTGTTGCACCCCTTCTTCGTGTCTGGTCTTCACTTTCTTGGTCACAACCATAACCAGAGAATTCAAATCGCGATGAATACGAACATACCAAGAGCAATTGACCATGTTCACCATGTTCAACAGAACTGAATTCTGGAGTCTTTGAATTTTGTAACGTATCTGAACAGCAACTTTTATTTTGTGCCACTCTGAACTAACCTCAAGCAGTTCATAAATAGGAATGATCCTTAACCTCTTTATAACTGTCGGTACTTCAGACTTTACAACTGTTTTAGGATGAAAGAAGGTTAAATCAGGAAAAGACAGAAAACGAGTATATAATTGAAACAGGAAACAAAAATAGTTGAACATTTAATAAACAGTTCTTATAGGTTTTTTGGCAAAGCTGCTAATAAAGTTCTCGTTAAATCAATTAATTAATTTCATTGCATTGTGCTTATTTGAAGAGTGTTGAAATATGGTTGACCTATGTTAATACATTGTGAGGCGATGGTTGAGACGCGTATTCAAATTGCGAATCAAATCCCTATAAACAAGCTTTTACATGAGATAAGAGGGGACAGAGGTTTTTAATATTTTGATGACATATACGACAAAGTTGTAGTTATTGCATATTTTGAACCAATTCGGAAAAGCTATTGAGTGAGAAACGTGAACGTACCTGCAGAAATTGTTTGTATAGGTTATTTCAATGCTCATTGTCATCATAGACAATATCTGTTAATGCTGATAATCCACGTCAGGACGAGGGTATTCAATTATCTCATTCTTTTTCGATAAAAACCTATAATTATCGATCTCCTTTAAAAACTAATACGTATATAGGGAAAATGGCTCTATTTACTGCATAAAAAACACAATTGTATTGGAAAATAAATTATATTCATTATGCATTTCTTAATGAATTTAAAAACAAAGTACCCAACTATAAAATCAAATAAAATTATTTTTCATACATGTTTGTGTGCAGGTAGACTACAAACCCACCACTGTGATTCTCCTTTCTATATAAGTTTTAAATGAATAAATAAATTAAATAAAATCAAAACTTTTCTTGCATATAATTTTCAGTGTCTGCAATATAA